GGGTTTTATGGTGGCAAAACCCCTCAATAATTCACAAGTCTTGTTAGAGGTAAAGTGTTGCAAACATCCCCTGTGTCTCTTCCACATTGTTGGCTGTAAAGGATATATTGTCTGCTAATCAGGGTGCTGAATGTAACAGCTAGTCAGGGTGCTGAACATAACAGCTATATTGCTGTTAAGGAAATTGATATCCTTGTACATTTAATGTGGAGGCACATCAAATGTTTGGACAAGGATTATGAATGAATATGCTTGTGAAGGGACCATATCCAAAGTTGTGGTTCATGCAATTTGGTTAAATCTGTGTTTGTTAAATTTTCCCAAAAGAAAAGATCAATAAATTAATTCATTTAGTCTTCTGGTTCAAAATTCATTTTTGTGTTCCAATCGCAAGTGATCAGACATAAAGTTTGTTGTTAGGTGGTCTTGTAAAGTAAGCATGGTAAAAGTAAATGAGTATGTTATTGTGACTGTCCTGTTTGAGGTGTGTGAATATTATACTGCTGTACTGACAACATTGTATGTCATAGGTGAAACTATAGAGGGAGAAAGAGGTGAGGTGGGAGGGAGAGAGGCGTTACAACTAAAAATGTAACATCACTAAAGCGTGTTGGATACAAAAAATGAAAAGTGAAAAATGACACAGCTTTAATTTTTTATTTTTCCTTTAATTTTAATAGAAGCTTGATCATTGGATACAGTGTGATTAAATTTTTCACTTATTGGGAGCTATGAAAGAACATTTGCATAAAATTGGGGGGATCGGCTAAGTATGATACATCCCTAATAGATCAGCTTCTTCCCCTTATAAGGGGCGGTGGGGTAGCCTAGTGGTTAAAGCGTTCGCTCGTCACGCCGAAGACCCGGGTTCGATTCCCCACATGGGTACAATATGTGAAGCCCATTTCTGGTGTTTCCCACCGTGATATTGCTGGAATATTGCTAAAAGCGGCGTAAAGCTAAACTCACTCACTCACTCCTCCCCTTATAAGACCAGACCCTCATTTCCTTCACATGTATTTTATTACTCTATGATCTTCCCACATGATAAGCATCTAACACTGTTGGAATGCACAACTGATATGAGTGGTGAAGTTTGATAGGCAGGTGAGGTTTTTTTGTCGATGGTAGCGATGAGTAATGAAATATTCAAAGCATGCTGAGCGGGAAAGTAGCACATTAGGATCACAGCACGACCGACATTTTATGTGTCTGGCATCATTGATCAATCTTTGGTTATTATCAACCAGGGAGCTTTTTATTTGAAATCAGTTATAAATTTGATCAATTTTGATTCCTGCCTTGGCTGCCATATTTGTTTGTTAGTGTTGGATTCTTTTCAGTTTTACTTGTTCGAGATGCGTGTGTGGGTGACACGAGTAGAGTTGCTTATTTTATCCATAATGAGACACATGCGAGTGTCACTGTAATTAGGAGTGAAATGGTACACTCTTACCATGGTACAGTACGAATTGCGGTACAAGGCCGTCGGTTTGGTCCGTTTCGGTTTGGTATATGAGATATGATCATATAATGCAGAAAAATGATAACAACAGCCAAACCTAGATTGATTTTGACAAAATGATTTGATTTCTAGACGTTTTAGAAAAGGTTTAAAAAGGTTAATAAAATGATGGTACAAAAAACCGAAAATACTGAATTTTTGGATTGCATTATGGTATACGGAACCGAAGGCAAAATACCACGGTTCTACTAATACCATAGTATATCATTTCACCCCTAACTGTTATAAAACATCATGATACTTATATCCCATCTTTTATTCACTTACCACCCAACCCGTGAAGATCCAGGTTAGAATTGATCTTCAGTAACCCATGCTTGTCGTAAGAGGTGACTAACGGGATCAGGTGGTCAGGTTCACTGACTTGGTTGACACATATCATCAGTTCCCAATTGCTTAGATCGATGCTCATGTTGTTGATCACTGGATTGTCTGGTTCAGACTCAATTATTTTCAGACTGCCACCATATAGCTGGAATATTGCTGAGCGTAGCATAAAACTAAACTCACTCACTCACTTACCACCCTCTTATCCACTTCTTATCCATTTGCCAACATGTCATGAACTTGATCGCTTCTATGGCCTAATGGATAATGCGTCTGCCTGGAGAGTGGCTGGTCAGTGGTTCGATCCCTTGGTCATACGAGGAGGCGTTAAATGATCGCACTTAATGATGCCTGGTGCTCATTGTAGAGGGGGCAAAACAAGGACTGGTGAGCTCAGTCGGTGTACTAGCTCACAGTGTGTGAGTTAGGTATTCATGTTGAATTGCAGCACGGTATCTTGCTATAAAACTGGTGGAAGTGCAGACCGAAATGAGCAGTCACACACACATTACTGCAATAGTGGGTTAGCCTAGTGGTTACAGTGTTTGCCCTACCACACCAAACATCCAGATTCCATTCCCTTCATCGGTTCAATGCGTGAAGGCCATTTTTTGAGTCCCCCTCTTTTAAAAAGGTGGAATATTGCTAAAAGTGGTGTAAAACCATACTCTCATTCACTCCCACTCAACCACTTGACCAGCCACCTACTCACCAAGGGGGTGATGGGGTAGCCCAGTGGTTAAAGCGTTTGTTCGTCACGCTGAAGACCCGGGTTCGATTCCCCACATGGGTACAATGTGTGAAGCCCATTTCTGGTGTCCCCTGTCGTGATATTGCTGGAGTATTGCTAAAAGCGATGTAAAACCTAACTCACTCACTCACTACTCACCAAGTCCTTCACATACTCACTCACTCATTCATTTACTCACCCACTCTTCCCATCTACTCCACAACTCCAAACAGAAAGAATGATGATACTTTTCTATGGATATACAACTGCTTTACTCTGTGAAAGGCGATGTTTCGACATAGATTTTCATGTCGTTGTCAAGCCCTTCAAGTAACTTTAAACAGAAACATCAGTTATGGCATACAAGAGATGCTGAGTTGATACTATCAGTGACTTGAAGTTGAACAGACCTGTCACCTAACTAGTCAGTAATTATCCCGAGATTACGTTTGCCTCAGTAATATTAATAGGTTTGTTGTGAGACACCTTGCATGACAGATACCAGTTAGCGGAGACGACAGGTTAGTTCAGATGTCAGGTCAATATATCCTCAGATGATTGTCTTGGCTTCAGGATCAATGAAGGTATATAAAAAGTTTTAGACAGTTTCCTTGGCAACTGGCTGTAGGTTAATATCTTTAACCACAATTCTGCCATATTGACATTGTTGTGTGGTTTGTGTGATTTAGCATGATGTTGAAACATTGTAACATAGAATATGCTTGGAACTCAGTACCACCTACAGAGACAGGGGGTGGAAATAACTTTAAAATTGCAGTGTGTAACTGATAAGTTTTACTATACGGGCGTTTTTGGACAACATTATAACATTAGAAAGTCAACTGGACACGGTACAGCATGATATACAAACCTGCTTGCCCGACAAAAAACACTGGACTCTGACGTCGGGAATGGAATTTTCCACCCTGAGAGATATCCGTGGATTCGAATTCCGGGAATTTCATAAGGCCAAGGGTCATTATTGTGAATCGTCTAAATCCGAGAGATGCTAAACCCCCGGGTAGTTTTCAGAGTGTTTCTCAAAACTTCATTCTCACCCCTGCACCTAGATCTGTGGTTAATCACGTGATATATCGTTCAATGACAATAGCAATAAGTGTTACACTGCAAGTTGATAATGTCCACATTTCTACCGGTCTATGCACACATTATTTGCATGTTTTACATGTCTGATTAAAGATAGGGCTACAGTCAACTTCAGGGTATGCATTATCAGAAAGGGTAAAACAGTTCCCAGTCTGAAATTTTCTACCCAACTCTTGAGACCTTCAGTGGGTATCAGGTACCTTGGCAGTAAATGTTTACTCTTCCTAACAATACATACATATATATCATACAATTATATTACATAGCCTATACATGGATGGAATGTATTACATAACATTTCCATTCATATTTTTAATACACTTTTGAAGATGTTTCGCTAAATGATCAAAGGCGCTGACAGTACTTTATCAGGCGATAAAGTACACTTTTTGAATTACGTCACAATGTATTGACGTCACTATACCATTCTCGTTTGCCTTCTCATCATCGAACATACTTTTGGCCTGAACTATTATGTATGTTACAACAACGTTAAAGCACTTGGACGCAGGTGTCCTCATAATTCAACTATAATTATATAGGCCAAAAGGCCTTTTATAACACTATACATGGGGTAGAGGGAACTGTATTTCTTAAATATATATATATAATTTGACAGATGAAATGGGTTCAATTAATTGTAGATATCATATTGTTGACTGATGTCTACTGTCCAAGTCTGTCAGTCTAAATGGAATATAGCACTTTCTGTCTTTTAGATTGTTTGTCTTTGTGTGATCAGTGCTGCAATTTTAGGTGGATGAAAACCTTCAAGCCAACTCTCAGTTGTTGCCATTGGTTGACAAACAAATAACAAATACATGACTCATAATTACAATATTACAGTTTGAACCTGATCTTGTTCTGTCTTTTAGGTGTGTTCACATGGTTTCATATCGGCAGTTTTCGATGGATACTATAACTCTCTCTAGCAAACTCTCAGTTGTTGCCATTAGTTGAAAAATACTATCATGATACAGAGGCGGATACAGCATTTTGAGAAAGGCGGGTGCACAGTTCATTTTTACCCGTTTTCACAAGAATTTCAATCGTCATTTGATAAACTTTCAAGATAAAAGTGGGGGTGCACACCCCTGCACCCCACCTCTGGATCCACCTATGTGATATATCGGCACTGTGGCATTAATCCCATGTAATTAATTCAGTGACAGACAAATAATATTCTTGATTTTGATTACTTATATTTCACAATGATTAATAATAGAAATACTGCTTTTCCCAATCTGCATTGTCTGAGTTCTCTGTTTCCATGGTTACTGAAAATTGACGGAATCCTGTTTTCTATTGCAGGTGGCATCACTGGAGGACTTGAGATCTGCATTACATTCCCCACAGAGTATGTGAAAACCCAGCTTCAGCTGGACGAAAGGACTGGTGCTGTGAAACGTTACAAGGGACCAATAGATTGTGTGAAAGTGACAGTGAAAGAACATGGAGTCCGTGGCTTGTACAGAGGACTCAGTGTCCTCTTGTATGGCTCCATTCCCAAATCTGCTGTCAGGTTAGTTCAGTTATCTCCCTTGTGGAGGGAGTTTTCTCCCTTTGTTGGTGGAAATAAGGGGAGATAATTCTGCCAAGCCTGTTTGTGTTGATTTCTTGGATATTCAAAGAGGATTTCTGTGGATAAAATATTCATTTCATTCAGAATGGAGGAGTTTGTGTGAATGGTTTGTATTAAAGGTTGGGATACTTATCAGGTGTACTGCAGACCAAATGGATTGAGTTACGTGGTAGAATGCATGCTATTGTATGCTAGTGGCATGGTATGATGCTCTTAATGTCAATCACTGAAATTCTGGTCTGGACTTCATTATGTCGTGGCTGAGGTCATACATCAACACAAAATGACTGTTAGAAAGTGGTCAGATTTAACTTAATTTTTGTACATTTTGTGTTTTGGCCCCCCCTTTTGTGCTTCGAATCCACACTCTCTGGCACCTAATCTTCGCATGTCATGTGGAATATAACCGAACAAAGTGTTAAACAACAAACATTCAAACACAATAATTTCAGTTTTCTGAAAACATGGTTGATATTCTTTCTTAACAAGGAAACAAGAAAGTAAGGTCTCATTTAGCATCTTTTACCTCTACAAAATTCACTTCAAAAGATTACCCACGAAATAGTAATTATCTTTGCCTCCCTGCCTTTTCTGCCTTGAAGGGAAATAAAGGAATTGAATTAGTCATGCACACAAGCATAAATCTTACATAAACACCAAACTAGTTCCAAGTAACGCTGTCTAAAAAGTATTTGTAAATTTTTATTCCAGTGACCAAAAATACTGAATTGGATTTATGAGGGATATGGTTTGATTCATTGAAAATGAGTGAATTGTAGCAGGTCTACCATTCAGGAGAAATGTCGTTTTGTGTATAGTGAATAATGTCTTAAGGGAATAAGGATACCGCTTTGACTATATCTTGTGAAGTTATTAGAAATCAGAAGGGCGTTGTTTGGAATGGTAATGGAGTATTGATCTTGGGTATTCTTGTCAGGCTTATCTCATTGGGGGGTATATTACGTTGTCCTTCTCAGACTATCTGTCTGAATGTGGGCTCATGATTTCTTAAATTTGCAGCTTACATATGTAATTACACAATCACACTGTCTAAGGCTTTGGCAGACGAAGCTGAAAATAGATCAAGTCTATTCTCGCTACTTAATGATAGGGAATAGCAGTTTGAGATGTTTTTCTGATTCATTTAAGACATAATGACAGTGTTGAGAAAGAATTAAGACATTCTGTTTCAAATTTTACAATAGCAATAAGTTTTGGACAGAATTGAATGTTTTGTAGGGTTGAGCGTTATGGATTAGGACAGAAAGTTATTGACGTCAGCCATATGTGGTTTAATATTGATGGAGTTACTGGGGAGGAATGAATGTCTGTTACTGTCAGAAAGGGCATTTATTGTTTTGGTTGGTGAGTGACGGTGAAACTTATTTGTTCAAGAAACATTATCGTCAAACTCTCGAGCCACAAGAGAAGCAGTTATTCACGCCTTCGCAAAGGGAAATTCTTTTCAAAAAACAATTTTCAATTCCTCAGTGAAACTGGCATCAGTGTCTTTTGTGGGAGTGTGGAGTCTGCTTGTCAGGGAAGACATTTTACGAACCTAAATACTCCCACAAAGATGCCAGCATACATTTTTAGAAGAACTAAATCAATTTATTGATGCTGAATGTGGGCATGATGTATACAGTGATCTCCGCCCACACTGGGCTGTGTGATGTGGGCATGATGTATACAGGGATCTCCATCCACACTGGGCTGTGTGATGTTCTGTAGATATTGACAGATGTCGGCCTGTAATCTGTTGAAGAATTGACAAGTTAGAGTCTGTATAATGATGATGAATTAATACTGTTTGCAAGGGAGCCATCAATGGGTGGGTTACCTCCAGTGTTATGAGTCAGGTTGCCTTAGTAAGTGGTAACAGTATTGACAAGTTACTCTGGGTGTGTAGGATGGGGATATATTGACACTGTACATAGGGGAGCCATCAATGGGTGGGTTACCTCCAGTGTTATGAGTCAGGTTGCCTTAGTAAGTGGTAACAGTATTGACAAGTTACTCTGGGTGTGTAGGATGGGGATATATTGACACTGTACATAGGGGAGCCATCAATGGGTGGGTTACCTCCAGTGTTATGAGTCAGGTTGCCTTAGTAAGTGGTAACAGTATTGACAAGTTACTCTGGGTGTGTAGGATGGTGATATATTGACACTGTACATAGGGGAGCCATCAATGGGTGGGTTACCTCCAGTGTTATGAGTCAGGTTGCCTTAGTAAGTGGTAACAGTATTGACAAGTTACTCTGGGTGTGTAGGATGGGGATATATTGACACTGTACATAGGGGAGCCATCAATGGGTGGGTTACCTCCAGTGTTATGAGTCAGGTTGCCTTAGTAAGTGGTAACAGTATTGACAAGTTACTCTGGGTGTGTAGGATGGGGATATATTGACACTGTACATAGGGGAGCCATCAATGGGTGGGTTACCTCCAGTGTTATGAGTCAGGTTGCCTTAGTAAGTGGTAACAGTATTGACAAGTTACTCTGGGTGTGTAGGATGGTGATATATTGACACTGTACATAGGGGAGCCATCAATGGGTGGGTTACCTCCAGTGTTATGAGTCAGGTTGCCTTAGTAAGTGGTAACAGTATTGACAAGTTACTCTGGGTGTGTAGGATGGGGATATATTGACACTGTACATAGGGGAGCCATCAATGGGTGGGTTACCTCCAGTGTTATGAGTCAGGTTGCCTTAGTAAGTGGTAACAGTATTGACAAGTTACTCTGGGTGTGTAGGATGGGGATATATTGACACTGTACATAGGGGAGCCATCAATGGGTGGGTTACCTCCAGTTTGTGAGTCTGGTTGCCTTAGTGGTAACAGTATTGACAAGTTACTCTGGGTGTGTAGGATGGGGATATATTGACACTGTTTGCAAGGGAGCCATCAATGGGTGGGTTACCTCCAGTGTGTGAGTCTGGTTGCCTTAGTAAGTGGTAACAGTATTGACAAGTTACTCTGGGTGTGTAGGATGGGGATATATTGACACTGTACATAGGGGAGCCATCAATGGGTGGGTTACCTCCAGTTTGTGAGTCTGGTTGCCTTAGTGGTAACAGTATTGACAAGTTACTCTGGGTGTGTAGGATGGGGATATATTGACACTGTACATAGGGGAGCCATCAATGGGTGGGTTACCTCCAGTTTGTGAGTCTGGTTGCCTTAGTGGTAACAGTATTGACAAGTTACTCTGGGTGTGTAGGATGGGGATATATTGACACTGTTTGCAAGGGAGCCATCAATGGGTGGGTTACCTCCAGTGTGTGAGTCTGGTTGCCTTAGTAAGTGGTAACAGTATTGACAAGTTACTCTGGGTGTGTAGGATGGGGATATATTGACACTGTACATAGGGGAGCCATCAATGGGTGGGTTACGTCCAGTTTGTGAGTCAGGTTGCCTTAGTGGTAACAGTATTGACAAGTTACTCTGGGTGTGTAGGATGGGGATATATTGACACTGTACATAGGGGAGCCATCAATGGGTGGGTTACCTCCAGTTTGTGAGTCTGGTTGCCTTAGTGGTAACAGTATTGACAAGTTACTCTGGGTGTGTAGGATGGGGATATATTGACACTGTTTGCAAGGGAGCCATCAATGGGTGGGTTACCTCCAGTGTGTGAGTCTGGTTGCCTTAGTAAGTGGTAACAGTATTGACAAGTTACTCTGGGTGTGTAGGATGGTGATATATTGACACTGTACATAGGGGAGCCATCAATGGGTGGGTTACCTCCAGTGTGTGAGTCTAGTTGCCTTAGTAAGTGGTAACAGTATTGACAAGTTACTCTGGGTGTGTAGGATGGGGATATATTGACACTGTACATAGGGGAGCCATCAATGGGTGGGTTACCTCCAGTGTGTGAGTCTGGTTGCCTTAGTAAGTGGTAACAGTATTGACAAGTTACTCTGGGTGTGTAGGATGGTGATATATTGACACTGTACATAGGGGAGCCATCAATGGGTGGGTTACCTCCAGTGTGTGAGTCTGGTTGCCTTAGTAAGTGGTAACAGTATTGACAAGTTACTCTGGGTGTGTAGGATGGTGATATATTGACACTGTACATAGGGGAGCCATCAATGGGTGGGTTACCTCCAGTGTGTGAGTCTGGTTGCCTTAGTAAGTGGTAACAGTATTGACAAGTTACTCTGGGTGTGTGGGATGGTGATAATTGACACTGTACATAGGGGAGCCATCAATGAGTGGCTTACCTCCAGTGTGTGAGTCTGGTTGCCTTAGTAAGTGGTAACAGTATTGACAAGTTACTCTGGGTGTGTGGGATGGTGATAATTGACACTGTTCGTAGGGGAGCCATCAATGAGTGGCTTACCTCCAGTGTGTGAGTCTGGTTGCCTTAGTAAGTGGTAACAGTATCGACAAGTTACTCTGGGTGTGTGGGATGGTGATAATTGACACTGTACATAGGGGAGCCATCAATGGGTGGGTTACCTCCAGTGTGTGAGTCTGGTTGCCTTAGTAAGTGGTAACAGTATTGACAAGTTACTCTGGGTGTGTAGGATGGGGATATATTGACACTGTTTTCAAGGGAGCCATCAATGGGTGGGTTACCTCCAGTGTGTGAGTCTGGTTGCCTTAGTAAGTGGTAACAGTATTGACAAGTTACTCTGGGTGTGTAGGATGGGGATATATTGACACTGTACATAGGAGAGCCATCAATGGGTGGGTTACCTCCAGTGTGTGAGTCTGGTTGCCTTAGAAAGTGGTAACAGTATTGACAAGTTACTCTGGGTGTGTAGGATGGTGATATATTGACACTGTACATAGGGGAGCCATCAATGGGTGGGTTACCTCCAGTGTGTGAGTCAGGTTGCCTTAGTAAGTGATAAGAGTATTGACAAGTTACTCTAGGTGTGTAGGTTGGTGATATATTGACACTGTACATAGGGGAGCCATCAATGGGTGGGTTACCTCCAGTGTGTGAGTCTGGTTGCCTTAGTAAGTGGTAACAGTATTGACAAGTTACTCTGGGTGGGTATGATGGTGATATATTGACAATGTACATAGGGGAGCCATCAATGGGTGGGTTACCTCCAGTGAGTGAGTCTAGTTGCCTTAGTAAGTGGTAACAGTATTGACAAGTTACTCTTGGTGTGTAGGATGGTGATATATTGACAATGTACATAGGGGAGCCATCAATGGGTGGGTTACCTCCAGTGTGTGAGTCTGGTTGCCTTAGTAAGTGGTAACAGTGTTGACAAGTTACTCTAGGTGTGTAGGTTGGTGATATATTGACACTGTACATAGGGGAGCCATCAATGGGTGGGTTACCTCCAGTGTGTGAGTCTGGTTGCCTTAGGAAGTGGTAACAGTATTGACAAGTGACTCTGGGTGTGTAGGATGGTGATATATTGACACTGTACATAGGGGAGCCATCAATGGGTGGGTTACCTCCAGTGTGTGAGTCTGGTTGCCTTAGTAAGTGGTAACAGTATTGACAAGTTACTCTGGGTGTGTAGGATGGTGATATATTGGCACTGTACATAGGGGAGCCATCAATGGGTGGGTTACCTCCAGTGTGTGAGTCAGGTTGCCTCAGTGGTAACAGTATCGACAAGTTACTCTAGGTGGGTAGGATGGTGATATATTTACACTGTACATAGGGGAGCCATCAATGGGTGGGTTACCTCCAGTGTGTGAGTCTGGTTGCCTTAGTAAGTGGTAACAGTATTCACTTGTCACACTGAAGACACTACTGGCTACAATATGTGAAGCCTGTTTCTGGTGTTCCTGCGTTGATACCAATGGAAGATTAATAAAAGCACCATCAAACCTTACTCACTCAAAAGGACTCCCTTTCAGCAGGATATTCTGTATGGTGATTTTCAGATGTTTAGTTGTAGCATACCTTAGGAAACATCGTGGTCCTGTTCTTCAACATGATCTTAGTGCTAAGATGCTCCCATACTTTAACACTAAATCACAACAATTGTGCTAAGATTATTTTATTGGATATATTCAGTGCATTTGATATGTGATTGGACTGATTCATTAGGTGATGCTTGAATCAAATTGACACAATGTTAGTGGATCACCTTAACACATGAGCTGTTTTATGTTGGTATTACTAAAAGGCTACAGCTGTCATCTATCCGGCTAATTGTTTTAGGTATAATGTTCAACATGGTTGGGCAGTAACTGGAATGATTCTTTATGTGCTTCTATTGAACTGAGGAAATGAAGTGCATCTGGAAAATAACGATAATTTTTTATTGTCATGGCAATCGGTCCATATTAAGAAGGCCAGTGTCATGTGGTACATAATCATACTAATACTGGTATGTGAATGGTGTATAGATGTTTCATGAATATTCTTCCTTTTGAACAAATTTAATTTATGTGCAATCTAATAGTTCAGGTCTGTTAATCAAGAATGAAACTTTCCAAATTGTAACACAGTACAAATATCTTGGCACTATTATCGACAGTAGACTACAGTGGGGTCCAAACACTGATTTTATTTTTAAGAAATGCAAGCAGATATAGTACTTTATGCGTAAACCGATATCTTTTAATGTAAGCAAAAAGGTGATGCTGTTGTTTTATCATTGTTTTGTTGAAAGTATTTTAACCTTTCCAATTCAATGCTGGTATGGCCTTCTTAATATCAAAAGCAAATCTTATCTTAACAAAATCATTTTAGTTACAAGTAAAATCTCTGGGGTGTCTGTTTCAGATTTACCTTCTCTTTTTAATTCCTGTGTTCGTAACCTTGTTTAGAGAATTTTATGTGATCCCAGCCATGTTTTATTTTCTGAATATAATCTTTTACCTTCAGGCCGCTGATACCAAATGCTCCCTTTTAAAAAAAAAAGAGGTCAAAATTCTTGTATTCCAGCAAGTATTCGCCTTTTAAATGACTTTTAACTTTGTTTGTCTATTGTGTTGTTTTGTGTTTTCTTAACCTTTATATCAGTATTAATATTTAATTATGTCATCACTTTGAAGTATAAAAAGAATTCCCTGAGGGGTAATAAAGTATTGTCATTGTTGTTTAGATTAACATAGTCCCTCTGACAGGGTACATAAGGGACCATTCACAATTTATGGCTTTGGGGTGTGTGGGGTGAGTTGTGGTGGTGGGTGGGTTGGTTGACTGGGTTGGTTGATGATTGGGAGGGGTGGTGGTGTGGGTGGGTTGTGAACCATTTTGTTCAGGGGAGGCAGGGGGGGTCATCAATTTTGTACACTTGTACTAGGGGTGTCAGCAATTTTGTACATAAAAATATCAAAATATCATGCTTAAACATTATTGGAAGGGGGGAGTCATTGATTTTGTACATGATATGGAGGTGGGGGGGTGTCACTTACTTTGTACATAAATATTAGGGTGACCATTCACATTGCACATGCTTCTCCTTAAAAAATCGCACTCACGCACGCCACCACCAAGCCATATATTATGAACGGTTCCTAAGCTCAATATCAGTCAGATTCTCTTCTTCTTCTTCATCAGTATTCCAGCTATATGATAAATACCTGAGTATGGTCCAGACAGTTCATCAGTATTCCAGCTATATGATAAATACCTGAGTATGGTCCAGACAGTTCATCAGTATTCCAGCTATATGATAAATACCTGAGTATGGTCCAGACAGTTCATCAGTATTCCAGCTATATGATAAATACCTGAGTATGGTCCAGACAGTCCAGTGATTGACAAAAAAATGACATCACGAGCATCAATCTACGCAATTTGGATACAATAACATGTGTCAACCAAGTCAGCGAGCCTGACCACCTGATCGCAATAGCTGCCTCTTTCGATGTACTGGGTTGCTGAAGATCAGTGGTTGGAAGATCCTAGTGATGCCTGGTAACAGGTGCTCTGTCCCACCAGGTGTTGTGTTTCCATGCCCTGTACTGTAGATATCACGATCCTCACTGCCGAGGGCCAGTTTCACATCGTTTGCGATACATGGTACAGTGTATAAGGTCCTTCCATGGTATGTTGTACAACACTGTCACGTACAAATATTCCATCGATAGTAATCAGTGTGCTCTATATATTTACAACATTATCACATGCAAACATTCCATTACTGCATGATTCCAATTGTGCATGTGTTATACAACATTCTCACAGAGGTGTTGTATAATGTTGCCATGTGGGGTGCTGTCTGTAGGGTGTGATGGGGTGCTGTCTGCAGAATGCTGTGGGGTGCTGTTGGAAGGGGTGTTGTCTGTAGGGTGCTCTAAGGTACTGTCAGTAGGGTGCTGTTGGAAGGTGTGTTGTAGGGTGCTGTCTGTAGGGTGTGGTGGGGTGCTGTCTGCAGAATGCTGTTGGAAGGGGTGTTGTAAGGTGCTGTCTGTAGGGTGCTGTCTGTAGGGTGCTCTGAGGTGGTGTCTGTTGGGTGCTGTTGGAAGGGGTGCTGATAGGAGAATGAGGGGTGGTGGTGCTGGTTGGAGGGAGAGGGGTGGTGGTGCTGGTGGGAGGGAGGGGTGATAAAGGGTGCTGTCTGTAGGGTGCTGGTTGGAGGGTCAGGGTGGTGGTGATGATGGGAGGATGAGGGGTGGTGGTGGTGCTGATAGGAGGGGTGAGGGGTGGTGGTGGGAGGGGAAGGATGGTGGTGCTGATGGGAGGGTGAGGGGTGGTGGTGCTGGTGGGAGGGTGGGTGAGGGGTGGTGGTACTGATGGGAGGGTGAGGGGTGGTGGTGCTGATGCTGATGGGAGGGAGAGGGGTGGTGGTGCTGGTTGGAGGGGGAAGGGTGGTGGTGCTGTATGGGTTGTGCTATGGTGTCGGATGTTTGAGGTGTGGTGTAGTGGGGAGAGTGCTCTGAGGTATGGGTGTTCAAATTGTTACATAGGATGATGGTATTGATACAGTGGAGCAATGACTGTTTATGATGGCTGTGACATCTTTGTTTCAGGTTTGGTGCTTTTGAAGAATTTAAGAAACATTTAGCAGACGAGAGAGGCGTGCTACTACCCCAACACAGGCTGCTATGTGGCTTGGGTAAATATCAATTTTAATTTTAAAATAATTATAATAATATATATCCACCCTCGTATATAATGTGACCCGTGAAGGTCTGGGTTAGAATGAACCTTCAGTAACCCATGCTTGTCATAAAGAGGCAACTAACGGGATCGGCAGGTCAGGCTCGCCGGCTTGGTTGACACATGTCATCAGTTCCCAATTGCGCAGATTGATGCTCATGCTGTTGATCACTGGATTGTCTGGTCCAGACTCTATTATTTACAGACCGCCGCCGTATAGCTGTAATATTGCTGAGTGCGACGTAAAACTAATCTTACTCACTCACTCGTATATCATGTTCATACTTGACATAGCACATGTTTCCTCATAAACTCAAAGGGGCGGTGGGGTAGCCTAGTGGTTAAAACGTTGGATCGTCATGCCGGGTTCGAATCCCCACATGGGCACATTGTGTGAAGCCCATTTCTGGTGTGCACGCCGTGATATTGCTGGAATATTGCTAAAAGCAGTGTAAAACCATACTCACTCACTCACTCACTCATAAACTCAAACAACCAATGGCCATGTGACTGCACCACTTTGACATTTCAGCAGATGTTGCCACCATGTAGTTTTGACCCACGTCAATATCCAGGCTATATTTTTGACAGGTGTTGACAAAATGAATGTACCGAAATTCAATATTGTAGTGTTGTGAGTGGACTCATTACAGAGCATCCAGAACACATGAGGTCGTACAACAATCTGGCAGTCACACATAACAACAGTCACAATCAGTTTAAAAGTCTAGCTCTTTGCTGGAACATTGTCCAAGGTCCAAATGAATTTCACACTAGATGCAAATCTTTTGAAATTGAATTGATGATCAGTTTCTAATTTGCACTGGGCTGATATGTCCGATGTAATTCAAGTGTCCAACATCAGAAACATTGCTCATCCATTTAATACCAGCCCTGACCTGGGCACTGATTGTTTTGTATCATTTATGCTTGCTTATGACAAATATCCAAGCTATGAGTATATCACTTTCTTGGCTGAACAGCTTACCATGGCTTAAATAAAGACAAAAGTGTGTTATTGTTGAGTATATGTCATTGTCAATCACTGGCAATCTCTACACAAATGAAAAGATGAATGTACTCTTCATGAAAAGTAAGTATACATATCATGGATTCCGTTAACAGTGGAAACCATGTTTAAATTAACAAGAACAAGTTTATTTAGCTTGTTGAAATACCTCTTCGGTGGAAAATCTTGGTCAAAATAGGTACCTATTATAATGTTTGAAGAATTGACTAGAATGAGGATTAGTTGGTTAAAATGTATGACCAGGACAATGATTGACCATCACTGTGGATAGCTGCTCATGTTATAACAACTACAGTCTGTATGATTTCATTGAGACCGATGTATTGCTCACTAAGATGAGGTGAGGTGAAATTGCGTTTTACATCGTGCTTGAGAATATTTCGCTCATATGACGACGTGCATGCTTGTGTATGTGTATGTGGGGCTGCTTGTACTAGCCCAGACTGAAGCTGGTTTTATAGTGCTAGCCCACTGAGATACGATGCCGCAGTGAAGCATGAATACCCCTCTCAGACACATTATACTGACTCCGAGCCCACCAGTTCTTTTTGTACCCATTAATGCCGAGCGCCAGGCAGGGACCAACAAGTACCATATTTTAACATCTTTTGGTATGACACGGTCGGGGATTGAACCCACGACCTTCCGCTCTCCAGGCGGACGCTCTTACCACTACACCACGGAGACGGTCTGCTCACTAAGACAAAAAAAAACGCAAAAAAACAAATTCTGCACAGTCACATGAAATCGACAGACCAACTTTGATAATTTGTCATACTTTTGGACACCCAAATAAAAAAGTTGTTTAACAAACAATCATTATTTAGTTGTCACTTTTCGCTACCTTTTACGAGGGGGTACCACTTGCTGGTAGAATTGTCAGGTAATCAACAAGCAGGTATAGTGAAATTTCAATTTCACACGTGCAACTTGCACACCTGACTGTTCAATGGGGGAACAACAGCTGATATCAATAGCAATGAAACAGTAATAGTATTGTATAGTAAGTGTATTGTTTACAGACTCCTCTCATTGTTGTTTGAATGGACCGACCAGCTGCTGCATTCAAAATATTGCTGACTCAGCAGAAAGATTTTATTTTTTCTCACACACATTTATAGTGTTAGGTAATTAAAAAAAAACATCAGTTACTTTTTCGAGAATATATTTGGTGAGTAATATAAATTATATGAATGAACAAGTGACTTCATTTTGTGTGCCTATTTACTTTCTGTTAAGATACATAATGTACACTTTGCACAATGCCAACAAGTACATAGCATGCAGCTGACAGTGGACTATTTCTGACATTACGTTTGTGATATTCAAACTTGTATAGTGATGATAATTGCTAGGGCTGCACGGTATTACCGGTATACCGGTATATCCCAGTGTGTGAAATTTACGCTAGTCCTGTGGTCCCTGGCTAGTCAAAATTCATCTGGACCATTGAATGATAAGTTTGCAGTGGTCCTGGTGGCCAGTGAATTTTGTTTTGATAGTTAAGTAAATCTATGAATGTTATTTTGGACCAGTGAAGTACAGACAGGACCAGTATTTATTGTCCACTCACTGGTCCTGTCGTCAAGTGGGAAATTTTGAGGTTTTTCCCTGATATCCCAATACGCTTTTCAAACAATATGTATAGCAATATTTTTTCTGAGAACCGGTATATTGGGTAAAGAACATATGTGAAGTGTTTTTGATTATCTTTACGGTTTGAATTAAAATCTACACAATAGATGTTTTCCTTCGTTATTCAATGACAAAACTGCATACTGTAAAACTATAAATTGTATAAAATACAACATAGAATCCATGACTGTGCAACCTAATTATGAGATTACTGTAGACCATAGGATCGACATGTACAATTAGTGTCGCTCACTGTCAAACACTTAAGTTCCCAATATATCGCCATATGCACCACAATACTGGTACCTGAATCGCAATATATTGCAGTACAATATATTTGCCAATACACAGCCCTAATAATGACCTGAATGTATTTTTTAGAATGTTAAACCCAGAAGATCCTACTTTTCTTGTTTCTAGGTGCGGGAGTGAGTGAAGCTATACTTGCTGTGACTCCAATGGAAACGCTCAAAGTTAAATTCATCAATGACCAAACGTCCGGCAAGCCCCAATATCGTGGTTTCATCCATGGTGTCAGGTGTATTATCAAGGAACAAGGTATGTGACCGTTGTGAGTCTTTCTTCAGATCGGGTATGTTTGGAAGCAAGGGTGCCAGTGTAAAAACTGAATCTGATTTGGTTATATAAAGTGATTAGTTTCTGATATGATCATGTGATTAGTGAGTTTGATACATAACATACCATTGAGAAGTACAGGCTTTTTGTTTGCTTTTGATGGATGCACCTGCAACAAATTTTGAAACATTGTTAACATTGTTAACATTTTAGTACCATTATTCTGGATGTGAGCCAAATAGGAATGACGTATAATGTTCTGGATGATTAGATGTAAAAAAATATCAAAAATATTGAAAGGAATATGTTATCATAATTACGCAGTAGACATTGATATATAGTGTAACCCAATCAGCAATATATTATCGTAATTACGCAGTAGACATTGATATATAGTGTAACCCAATCAGCAATATATTATCGTAATTACGCAGTAGACATTGATATAAAGTGTTACCCAATCAGCAATATTTTACCGTAATTATGCAGTAGACATTGATATATAGTGTAACCCAATCAGCAATATTTTACCGTAATTACGCAGTAGACATTGATTTATAGTGTAACCCAATCAGCAATATTTTAACGTACTCACGCAGTAGACATTGATATATAATGTAACACATTCAGCAATATATTATCATAATTACGCAGTAGACGTTGATATATAGTGTAATTCAATCAGCCATATTTTACCATAATTATGCAGTAGATATTGATATATAGTGTAACCCATTCAGCAATATTTTACCGTAATTACGCAGTAGACATTGATATATAGTGTAACTCAATCAGCAATATTTTACCATAATTTTGCAGTAGATATTGACCAGACAATTTGTCATTCCAGGTATTCGCGGCACATATCAGGGCTTGACTCCTACAATCATCAAGCAGGGCAGCAACCAGGCCATTCGCTTCTTCGTCATGGAAACCATGAAGGACATGTACCGGGGAGAGGACAAGAAGAAACACGTACCAACGTTACTGGTCGGACTGTTCGGCGCCGTCGCAGGTGCAGCGTCTGTGTTCGGGAACACACCCATAGATGTAATTAAAACTAGAATGCAGGTGGGTAATTGATTGAAGGTCATAAGATAGATCTGAATTACATAAGAATGCAATGCAGGTGTATTTGTGGGTAGAGGTAGTTAGAGGTAATTAGATATATCTGAATAACATCAGAGTTCAGGTGGATAATTGGGTAAAGTGCATAAGATAGATTTGAATAACAAGAATGCTAGTTCAGATTTGTGTTTGAGTATCTTGGTGCTTTTCATTTGTTCTTTAATTGAATTTTCACCTTTCTTTATCGCAGGGTCTGGACGCGGCCAAATACAAAAACACTCTTCACTGCGCAACACAGATATTAAAACACGAGGGCCCAAGAGCGTAAGTAGAAATATGGAAATATGAAACATTGTGTCCCTTCAGCAAATCCAAGTATGAGCAAACTTGTATAATAAAAACGTGGTCAGTAAGAATCTGAAATAAGAGATAAAGCAACACTACACAATGATTTACCATCTATATTATATCTCCTGTTCTGTTTGGCATAAGGGGCTGTGGGGTAGCCTAATGGTTAAAGCTTCACTCGTCATGCCAAAGACCCAGGTTCGATTCTCCACATATCTTCTTTATAAACCTTCATGATATTGATCTGTTTTTCTTCCTGTGAACAGAAGTCATATTTCCTCGTATTTACTTTAACAACATATTTTCTTTTTTTCTTCAGATTTTACAAGGGTACAATTCCTCGGTTGAGCCGAGTGTGCTTGGATGTCGCTATCACATTCATGATCTACGACAACTTCATGGTCCTATTCAATAGGATATGGGTGACAGACTGAAACTGCTTTCTTTACAACTACTACTAGAAACTTTAGATTACACAGACCCTAGATGATACTTTATATGAAAATGACTGTAGCGGGAGGTATAGTATAATTGTGATTTTGGGCCAGTGCCATCTAGATATATTTTCATGATATATTTTCATGATATATTAGGGTCAGTCCCTGAATCTAGGGATGGATGTAGGTTTATAAAGATTTAGTGGAGGCACAAGTTAGAGCCCATCATTGTTACAAAAGAGAGTCATGTATTTTCGTGTTCTGGAGATGCCAGTTGCTTGATACATTGATATTTCTCCTGTCAGAATTGAAATGTTATCACCATCGAATATGTTGATATGAAATCAGTATATGGTGTAAGGGAGATAAGGGCTGATAAGATCTCTTCATTACTGTCTCTGTGCAGGCTGTGAATCCTGTGATGTATACACACCTAGTTCATTTACTGACAGATTTTACAATACTGTTTACTCTCTGTATTCAACCTGTTCCTCAAGTTATCATTATAATTCCATTTTGGGGGGTCTTTGTAGCCCAGTTGTCTAAGGTGCTAATTAGATGTTCAGAGTTGCGTCCCTTAGTCATGCAAGAATAAGCTGATAGTTGGTTCAATTCCCGATTCGTCATGTGACATGGCTGCCAACACCGAAGCGGTGAACATCTACAATCTATTCAAATCAGATCTTTTATGTGATATGATGAATTCTTGAGTCAGTCGGATTAAAATTTCTAAACCTCTTCATTTCTTTACCATCACAATTCAGAAGTATCAGTTTTTACAAATGTTTATTCACTCAGGCCACCGATGCTCAGTTTAGGTGGCAATGCTTGCAATTCAGAAATGACTGATGCTAATTTGTCTGATAAGAATATCAGAATGCCTTCCAATGATATTTCGTCAGATCTTCAAAATGTCAGGGACTGTATCGGTGTAAAAGATCTGATTTAAATGTGCCTGTAGACATCTTTGTCCTGCATAACCTCTGGGTGTCTTTTTCATTAGATCTTCAGCAACCCATGCCTGTCATAAGATGCGACTAACAGAATCGGGTGGTCAGGCTTGCTGCCTTGGTTGACACATGTCATCATATCCCAATTGCGTAGGTCGATGCTCATGATGTTGATCACCGGATTGTCTGGTCCAGACTCGATTATTTTTACAGACCGCCGCAATATAGCTGTAATATTGCTGAGTGCCGTTTAACAAACAAACAAACAAACACAAACAAATTTTTCATTAGACTGAAACACTGTTCTAATTAGAAGATAAAGCTAACCGAACGCGTTGGCTTGAGGGGTAGCCTAGTGATTAAAGCATACGCTCGTCACGCCGAAGGTCCGGGTTCCATTCCCACATGGGTACAATGTGTGAAGCCCATTTCTGGTGTCCCCTGTCGTGATGTTGCTGGAATATTTCTAAAAGCGTCGTAAAACTAAACTCACTCACTCACTCTTAGGATGTCTTCCCAGTCACAGTGCTATTCACTCCATTCCAACTTTTCTACGCAAAGTGTCAAGCAAAATGGTGGTCCAGTTTGTATTGTATTTACTTGACAGATGTTATATTTACATGCAATAAATGGTGATTCTGGGTTATAGAAAATGAATTGACAGGTTTGCAAGGTGGGTGATCTATTGTTATACAATATTTATTTTGGATAGCTTTTTTCTTTTTGTTATCAACAAATTGTTGCAGTTTTGTACCAAGTGTTTGTTATACACAGTGATTGTGTGGAAGACTGAATGATGCTTGTTTATAGACGCGGTTGTTATGCAATTATTTATCCGTGTGTAAGCATATGTGTATTTAAATTTTTATAGATATATGATATATGCTGGCAAGGGGAGGTAACTCTAATGCAACAAAGGGAACATAACTCTAATGCAACAAAGGGGATACAGCAGTCAAATCAACACTTTTCAGACCATTATTCTATTGTTGTCGTTTCTCAACAGATTACTACCTCTTAGTGTACAGTGTTTGGTTTTGGGCATTTATTGAGGGACCATTATCAGTTTGAGAATCATTCTGAACTACATATAATATAATATGACTTCTTTTTCAAAAGCATTTTGAATTCGCAATTTATTGTGGAGTTGAACCCCATCTTACATCAACAGCTTTATGACCTATATATTTGTGAAAACATGAAATTTGAAACAGTTATATTTATGTATATAGGTTACAGGAAATATGTAAAACCTAAATTAAGATTAAAATTGAAGAATTTACTGCGACCCCAGAAGCATCTTATGAACTGTTTACCATTACCTGAAGAAAAAAATGAAATGAAACAACTTGTATTTTCTGCATATCAGTAAGTCCTTTCTACTTTCAGATACATTATTTTGTGACTTATAAAACCTGCAGCAAGTAATCATATCTCTTGTATGGTGTCAGTTGATTTGTGCAAGTAGGATAACATTTGATGACCGGATTACTGTATCTGTACACTCCGTATGTTATATTTTCAATGTTTATTTTCGAAAAAACTGTCTCTTGTTCGAATTTATTGCAGCCATACTTTTACCAGCTGTTACTGTGTTAATCTGGGTTGCTCTAAAATAAACACCGACGCAGTTGATGTTATGCTGACAAGCTGCGTGGCACAGTTTCTATCTGGCCTCTTTCACAAGCGTAATTCGTGTGTCCGTCTATATTGGGGCCAGTCAATTCACCTGCATTGATCCACACTATTTCCATGTTGATGTTTATTGTTTACTTTAGCAGGACTAAGTGCAGGTTAAGTATACGCTGATTTTGTTATTGGAAATCCAGTTCCTTATCTTGTTATGGATTTCAGTCTAATTATTCAAGAATTTTGTTGACTATATCCATTTGTGCTAATGGATGATGCAGAATCCGTGTTGTGCTTGGATATTTTTAATCCAGTTTCTTTTTCTCAGGCTCAATTAAACTACCAGTATGTGTCAAAGGCGCATTAACAAACATTGACATCGCATTGCATGTGTACATGTATTTCTCAAACCTCCTCATAGCTACAACAGTAAGAACTCCTGATATAGACTGTTTTTGTGCTCTACCTCAGGGGTGGAAATAACCCATTGCCAGACGTCCGAGTCCAGTGTTTTTTTCTGTCGGGCAAGCAAATTTGTATATCACACTGTACCGGTGTTCAGTTGACTTTCCAATGTTAATTATGTTGTTTATTTAGAAAATCAGCAAGAAAACAGTTGGTATAGTGGAAAAATGATCAGGGCAAGTGACTTTACATGTGCCACTGTACCGGAGTACCCTAGCAATTTTAATGTTATTTCCACCCCTGTATCTTCTTCTGCTTAGTGTTTTTGGTTCAGATGCATTTGTGAATTCGCTGGAATATTGCTGTTGCCTGTCTCTTCTAGTTCTTGGTTAATGAGGTCCATTTATACAATCCTTCAGTTATTTTTTTCAGCATGATTGTTCCTTTCCAAAGTCATCGTCTATTATGAAGGGATTTGTATGTCGATTTTATTGTTAGAATTATGATACCACATGATCAAGGATGAGACACTGTGTGTTACAGTAATGTCATATTTAAGTATTGTTAGCAGCTGAGCAGGTTTTGGAAGTAGCAGAAAAAATGTCGGGACAGGGTGCATATAATGTTTGCATTGTAGTTTAAACTATGTTAAGTGTCTATATCTTTGCAATCAATGAAAATATAAATATAAAACTTCATGCATTAGATTACTTTTATTTGTGAAAAAAGAAGTCATAAAATTTGATATTCAAACTATTAGGGGCAATTATTTTTGGTGTGTGCATAACATGTTGAATAAAAGACTATTTGTTTGATCAATAAAACTGAAAAGTAACAAACATCATAATGTAAAAATAATTTTTGTACACCTTTAATGAACATTGTGGATTTGGGTTGAAAACAAGTTTGTGAACTATTACCTGTCAAAATATGGTTGAAACATTGTCGTGACTTAAACTTTTTACACACTGTCAACTGTCAAACTGTTGTTTTTCATTAAGAAACCTGTGAAAGATTTGTATTGCTTGGTGTTATTTTCAATGTTGATCTCGAAAGTCTTGCCATGATCAGGATAATGATAGTGCTATTTTAAACTTACCTATAGCTACCTTCCTACAAAGTATTGGATATCTTCATTTCCTTATTTGTCTTCTCAGTCAACAAATTTTGTTTTGTATAAGGTTGATGTGAGTTATACACAACACAATTGGAAGCAGTCAAAGTGTTTAAGTAAATTATGTAATTGATGTAAGGCAGTCTAAGTAAACTTAGGCTCAGTATTATTCATTACACTGCTATACTGAGTCTCTGTTTACTTAGACTGTGATTTAAGGCTATTTGGTCCTCTCCTGCGTGTACATAATTCTGACATAAAATTCCTTAAGACGAAAAACTGGCCAAATTGTTTTATTTCCACCTGCTAAACTACAGTCCCGTGATTTATGTTTGGGGATTTTTGATGCAGAAATGTAATAAAATTAATTACAGTCCCTAAATGCTGGGTGTATCTTTGGATAGACTTGGACATTTTGTCATTACTTTCCATGCAAAGACAAAATACTAAATCATTTGATATTTTATCATAAACTGTCCACATTTTCATGACCATCCTGAAATATGTGTATGATTTTTTTGTGACCCTCACCTTGAGATCGTCATAGATTTTAGTGACCCTTCCCCAGATTAAGGCTGACCTCCCCAATGATTCTTTAGCTGGATATACAGATGGTGCCACTTAGGAGCGATGCCAGATGCCAGGTCAATGGGTTTTGCTGTACTGCTCCAGTGTGTTATGGAACTATTTTCTGTTTATTTTCATGTTACATCTTGGAGACAATATTTTTATTTAACCAGGGTTCACAGGCTGCCTTGTGGTCTGAATTTGCAACTTTAACATGAAAAGGTCTACATTCCTCTTCTGATGTTAACGTTTTGGTGAATTGTCTTGGAGACTGTTTACTGTCTGATGCCTCTTATACAGGAGCATGCAAATACAGATTTAGATTATTATAAGCAAATATGTATACAGTCTGTAAGTATTGTTTTTCTTTGTTTTATTTTTGTATATTATCGATGCAGTTGTATTTGAATGTTATATATATATTCTTGACTAACTATTCCAGATATTTTATCTTAACACTGCCTCAAAGCCTGTACAAACTACTATTTGATTTTCTGACTGTCTGTAGTGTGTTCCTCTGTTGTATGTAAGAAAGCCCTCTGTGAGTGGCAACACATGTGTGTATGGTGTAATTGTGAATGCACAAACATGGTGGGAATAAAGCAGGGAGAAGTCATTGTGGCGTTTTGTCCTATCGGGAGAAGTCATTGTTGTGATTTCGGAATGTGAACTCTTTGCATAGTGAAACTACTTATTTCAGTGAAGCGCCATATCCATACTTTGAAGAAGTGACTATATTAAGACTGGGTAGTGTGACTCATTATGTGAAAATGAACTTTGCTCATGCATTGCTGGGTAGGGTTAAACAAAAAATACCAAATCATTTGCTCTTGCTGTCAACCACTGGTTTCTTTGTTGAGCTCAAATACTTACAAGCTAATGTGACATATCTGTAATAATTCTGAGTCTGGTGTAACACAACGTTCACTCAACAGTTCCCCAACAGTGAGGATCACTCCTGATATCAATCACTGGATTGTCTGCTCCAGACTGAAGCATTCATAGGCCGTCACCATGAAGCTCAAATATTGTTGAGTGCAGTGTTGAACAACAAGCAAAGTAATGCTTATTCCTTGTAATATAAGTCCCCTGGGCCTAGCTCTCTTAGCGCTAAGATAGTCGTAAGTGCCATACATTAACACTAACTTACGACTATCTTAGCGCTAAGGGAGCTTCGAAAATCTAGGCCCTGCAATCTATGCTTGTTCTAACTGGATTTGGAGAAAACAGTTGCTGACCAGGCCCCCGTTCCTCAAAGCGATCGTAGCGCTACGACAGTCGTAAGTTTATTTTTTAAAGTATGGGCATTACGATCAACTGAGTGCTACAATCGCTTTGAGGAACGGGGCCCAGGCAGCTTACAATGTACATCATCATGTTCCCATTGTATAGATTGACGCTCATGAGGCCAAATAAAAACGTTGTGGTTCCGATTACACCTCTTTAAAATTTAGGGTAGGTAGGATTTTATTTATTTGTAAAGAATTTTTTAGGTCTGATGTCAACCACAGGATGGTTTAATCCAGACCCATCATTGACACATCACAATTATATTGCAGGAATGTTGCTGAGTCGAGGCCTTAAAAGCCAACGAACAAAAGTTTTAAAGTGAAGGTGTTTGAAAGAGTTTCATCCCATCCAAACACACATTCCGTCCATTAACTGATGGCAGTTCCAGTAATAGGGTTGACCACTGGATTGTCTGATTCTGACTTGATTATATACAGACCGCCGCCATATAGCTGCAATGTTGCTGAGTGCGTCGTAAAACTAAACTCACTCACTCATTCCAATAATAGGCTCCTCAAATTGCACCTGCGAAGGTAATCGAAGCTATACCTTAAGTATGAGAAACCGTGGCATTCACTACTGGACATTGCCATGGTAAAATTGAGTCTGCCAAGATGTTATCCACCCCAGTCTAATGAGGATTGGATGACCACAATGTCTGCATGAGTGAGTGAGGTTAGGTTTACGCCGCACTCAGCAATATTCCAGCTGTAAGCGGTTGTCTGCATGAGATGGAGGACAACATAATGATTATGTGGGATCATTGGACGATTGGCTCAAGACTCTTGTGTGCTGCAATTCACTTAAAGATCACAGATACTCTAGGGGGTACATATACATAAGTCATGTCTGTTTTATCCTACCATCAAGAGTCTTAGATCATTGTGGACCGTCCTCCTGATCTAGAGGATAGAGGGTCTGCCCTGAGAGCTTAGGATCGACTGTTCAGTATCCCTTCATATCAAAGGTGATACAAATTGTATTTTTTTTTCCCCAACCTTGCGCTCGGCCATGGTGTCATGGTGGGCTATCATTGCAGTCTGGATTAGTTCAAGCACCCTACTCGCACGTACACGTGATATAAGCGTAAATATCTTGAACGCGGCTTTTACCAAAACATTCACCTCTATACGTAGATTGTTAACAACAACCCGTTTTTCAGGCATACACTTGGTTACTACTTCATTAATATAACCAGCGCCACACTTTCCCATGTTTCAGCCCCATGGTGGCGGGCTGTACCCAAAACTTCAGCGATTAGCGTGATGAATATGCAGGGTTTTGCGCGACGCGCAAATGTGAGTCCAGTACGCACACATGGAGAGAATACTGCCTCTAGAGGGACGCAAAATAACATTCACTGAATCCACCACACATATATGACTTTGCTAAGTGTTTGGTTGTTTCTTTCAGAGCAAGTACGAGCATCATTCCATCCATCAGTCACATGATCAATGATTCATGCCAGGCTCTAAAGAAATTATCAAAACGTACAGTTTTCTACTCTGTTACTTCACAGGACCCTCAGTTGCCCGCAAGGACCCTTAAGATGTTACACACAAAGAACTGAATTGAGCAGTCCCCTGTATTTTTGCAATGATGGGTTTTCAACACGTTCATAAAACTTCTCGGGGTGACCACGATGGAAACATGAGTTTTTCTGACCCGTATGATCCTTTGACTCATAAAAAAACGACAAAATGATTTGAATCCATGTTGATTTTATGATGATAATTGCTCATCTTAAAAAACCCCACTGATCTTCATACAAAACCATGTCTTTACAAGTATGACCCTGGAATGTTTAATTTTAATTTATTGGTGAATGTGAACATTCAAAATGTCATTTTGCGTGTCTTACATGATTCAAGGTCAATACCGAGTGTAACCCCCATGTGACTGTCAGCTTCCTGATCATCTGAAGGCACAGTCAACGCCATTCCTCATGTAAAGCAGCTTTCAATTGGGCCAGGTTCTGTACAGGAGGATCCTTTTGTTGCACACGACGACCAATCATGCCCCAGGTATGCTCCAAAGGGTTAGGATCGGGGCTCATTCAGTCGTGAGATATGTCAAGGGGCGCTTAACTAAGTTCTTTGTGTATATTTGTGAGTCCCCAGGAACCCCATATTTTTGAGTCGAGGTACACTCTTCAAACAATGAAACGCATAAGCTAACTTTAGTTTAGAAGAATTTATTGCGTTAGTTTAAGAGCAATTATGTCGTAATTTCAATGGTAAAAAGGTGAAAATTCACCACCTTTGGCAGCAATTACTACTCGGAACCGTCTCGGCACAGACTGGATAGGTCGACGAAGTCGCTCTTATGGAATTCTTCCCCACTCGTCCTGCAATGCGATGGCCAGTTGTGGAAGTGTCTGAGACGTGTTTTGACGTTAACATACACGTCGATCGAGTTCATTCCATTGGTGTTCTATCGGGTTTAGATCTGGTGATCGGGAAAGCCATGGCAAGACATTGGCGTTAGAATTAGCAAGGTAACGGACCGTGACGCATGCTGTATAATGTGAAATAGCCTTTTTCATGCTGGAACAACTCCCTCTGTCGATCCATAATCGGAAGTATGTGACGTGCAAGGACTTCGTTGATGAACCGATTTGCTGTCAAATTCCCCTGAACCACCACTAAATCAGATCTTTGTGTGCTGGCCATCTCATCCCACATGCACCATGACACTGTCTCCTGCGAATCTGTCGACCTGTCGAATGCAATTAGGGGCAAAACGTTCATTTCTCAGACGGTAAACACGCTGTCTTCCATCCCGCCGGTGAAGAAGGAATCATGATTCATCACTGAACCAGACTCGCCTCCAGTTTCTAAGGTTCCAGTTCCAGACTCTACGACACCACCGCTAGCTATTGCGTCGATGGAAGTCTCTCAAAATAGGGGCGACAACTGGCCTGCTTGGTCGAATTCCCACTTCACGCAATCGATTCCTGACAGTTTGATCGGAAATCCTTCTCAAACCAGGGATGCGTTGTGCAGTCTCCATGACTGTGGCAAGACGATGACGCAAGTGAGCAGAACGGAAGTAGCGATCATGGGCTTGGATGGTAACTTTTGGACGGCCGCTTCTTGGGCGATCTTGAGCGGAATTAATCTGCAGGGAACGACCCCAAAGGCGAGGCACTGGTGTTCGGATGAACATTGAAATGTCGGGCAACTGGAGACTGCGACTTCCCAGCTTTAAGGTTGAGTCATGTTTTGACTGGCGGCACTCAGTCGTGGCATCATGATTTCCTCTTTTCCAGGCAAAAACGAATGACAAAAGTAAACACAATGTTTGCCTTTTTATAGTGATCGATACCGCATACTTTTCCGCTTACTTGCACTTGCATGTCGCTTTGCATGTTTTCTTCGTGGCGTTTGGGCGAAGATTTCTTTAAACGCTTCTAAAACAAGGGGAAAAGATAAAGTTGCTGCGTTTTGGCACTGAAGCTGTTTACAATCACACAACGATGGCGTTTTGGAAAGAAACAGTATATTTGTATTGTTTTTGCCGACGCTACATGAGTCCAATATTCTCAAAATCACATATGCGTTTCTTTTTTTTGTAAGACCCTTATATGGACACTACCAAGTCATCGAGCCTGGTCAACTGACCCCGTCAAACGAAAAAAAAACCTATAAAACTTTATGAATGACAACTTCTTATTTATTGCATAGAGCGACGTTTCGATGTAGATTCTTACATCGTTGTCAAGCTAAAAGTGAATACAACCAGATGTAGAAATGGGGACTCAACAGAAATCTTCGGCATCGTGCTTGCATTTTCTCAAAAATAGAGTTTTTTAAAATTACAATAGACAATGGAGACTAACGAGCTGATAGAGGATTTAACGAGACTCAAACGGGTTCGATTCCCCACATGGGCACAATGTATGAAGCCTATTTCTGGTGTCCCCGGCTGGAATATTGCTAAAAGCGGCGTAAAACCCAGCTCACTCACTCATCTGACATTAGACATTCCATATACAACTCATGGTCATGGTAAGTAGAAACATGGATGGGATCCTGACTTGCGCAGGGCACGGATGAAACCAGTCGTTAACTATGACGGTCTCGCGAGATGTATGACGTCGCTATGACGACAGTTTCACTTCTGATGCCGCCATTTTGACGCTATCATATCTCTGTGCTTTTGCTGAATTTCTGCTGACATTTGCCTCATTATCTGCTCATCACCAGTTGTTTTCACCATGAGTTCCTACACCCAAGGTATTTCTTTATTTCTACACTAGTTATTGTTGCCTTTTCGTTTTCTTTAATGACTCATTTACTTTATTCGGCAAACGAAGAAACTTCCAGAACATCCCGTTGGCTGTCATGACCTGTGTAAGATATTTTCCACGTTAATTGATGCCTTGTAACCTATATAAACAACAAGAGTTTAACATACAGAACATCCTGCGGGTTGAACATTATGAAAGATTGGCCATCTGTTAAAATCTTTTTCCCTTTAGTTAGGGACTTGTAACCTGTCAGTGTGTTTATAAACAACAGGGCCCAGATTTCCGAAGCTCTCTTAGCGCTAAGATAGATCTAGTCGTAAGTGCCATACATTAACATTAACTTACAACTAGCCCTAATAGAGCTTCGAAAATCTAGGCCCAGGAGTACAACATCCGCTAAACATAAATATTAAACAAATAAGCAGCTTCCTCACATTACTGATGGTTATTCAGATTCTGTTGAAGCCCCCTACCAATTTTGTTTCCCGCAGTGGTAAATACTAAATTGTTTTCAGTATGTTATATCTGTTGACGATCCACAATACTGAAGCAATATTTACTAATTCAAACTAAACGAGTTCCAACCGTCGTAAACCAGTTCTTTTTTCACCGCTGTAAAATTCGGTAAGATAACAGAATCCAGGGTTTTACATGACGCGGGATGTGTATTTGAGTATTTTGACGCAACAATTTTGATTTTGTTAAAGACTCTCAAAATATCATACGAGTCAAGCTTGACGCAAGTTTTATGAGTGACCAACTGAATTTAGTTCAGAGTCAGTAAAATCGATTTGAAAGCAAACAATGATAGTTTTTGTGAGGTCTTCATTAATTTAGATATTTCTTTCAATTCATGTTAATAACAGTTACTGTATGTTACAGTGAATAAATCACAAGCCTGATTATGTGTTCAGTATACTGGAGTTTGTTATTCATGAATGCACAAAACTCTTGCTTTTTGATATTCACACATAAATATTACCCAAACATTTTCACGACTCCAAATATTGAAAATTACTCCCAAAAATAAATATTGTGGGTCACTATGACTCTCTTTTTTCAAAGTCTGTGTAAAACCCTGAACAGAATACTGGATACCTTCCGCCATCTTTGTAAGCAGGGGAGTTTAGTTAGGGGTAAGGTTTAGGGTTAGGGCTAGGGTCATGGTTAGGGTGACATGACACTAAACAAGAGTGCTTGTAGGTATCCGGTATTCTGTAGGTGTACCTGAAAATCATAAACTGTTTTCAGTAGGTGCATTTTATAGGCATAGATTATTGATCTTCCATTCTTCCTGAGATGCATTATAAGATTGTGGTATTTCCCTTAACTATATGTTTTGCAAGATCTCACTAATCATCAGGAGAAGCGTATGTCAGAATAAAGTGTTCCCTTTGTCTAATTTCTACCCAATGTAGGGCAACAACTACAGTATCTTAACAGTATCATGATGATTCTAAGAGGCTTCGATAACCAAGATTTAACGTGTGACCAGTCCGTGATGACGAGTGCTACTACCGGTATATCATGACAATGACAAATCAACATGTACAAAAAAAATAAAAAATAAATAAAATAAAAATAAAATAAAAAATAAATAAATAAATAAATAAAATAATAAAAAATAATGCCACCAAGTCTTATTGTAAGACTGTATTACAATATGGTCACTTGTACTCACAGAGAGTAGACAAATAATTACTCCAAGCATTAACCCCAAAACATTAAACCAATCATTATCCAAATACATACAAGAACCTTTATTTCTGCATCATATAACTCTTTCTGTAAATATTGAATAACATCAAAACATGTAGATATGCTGACTTACTCTTACTCAGGTGACAATGAATCAACAGGACAGGTTTATAGATTGTTTGGTATTTGTTTATAAAACCTAATTCAGCCCAACATATATGAAATGATATGATATGATATGATACAATAAGTGTCATTAAAGCTCTATTAATTATTTAACATTCACTTTGGTTATAATGAACTTTTAATGGATGCATCCCTTTATTGAGGGACCAAAAAATAAATTGAAGATTTTGGGGTAATCTTAACCTGACACTAACCAAATACATATACATATCCATTAAGAAATAGAAGGGTCAGGTTAAACATGCTTGCTTGTTAAATTGAAATGAATAAAATAGATATTTATATGCATAATGTCACCTTAATGAATATGCTAGATTTAGTGTCATTACTCATTTTGATGTCCAGGGGCTCCTTTCACAAAGCAAACGTTCACCTTGGACTAAAGTGCTTTGTAATAGGAGGCCCTGGTTTACTCATGATCAGTTTTGATACAGTCAATGTTCTGTTTGTTGTTTGATTTCTACGACTCTCATTCCTTCTTTCCCCACAGCCCTTGACCTCGTGATCAGGTTCCCTTTGAACTTTGACATCTGGGCCCCTCCTCGCCAAGTGGGTGTCTTAGGGAATCAGTTATTTCATAGAATTAATTTATGAAACTGAAATTGTGTCTTTCATTTTGTGCATGAACCTAACCATTGTATATTACTAATATAATGTCATACCAACACATAAACTGTTGATTTGGACACTATTCTCAATGTGTGTGTGTGTGTGTGTGTGTGTGTGTGTGTGAGTGAGAGAGAGTGTGTGTGTGAGAATGTATGTGTGAATGAGTGAGTGTGTGTTACATGTTTATGCCACTATCAATCCATTTTGAACATCTACCCTTTTTCTCCACTTCCACCTTCTTTCACTCTCTACTTGTCCTTCTCTCCCTCCGTGTCAGCGTCCTACTGGGAGGTACATGACCATCCTTGAACCCCTGTCTGAGCTGCCCACCCCTCCCACACCTCTCCCTGCCCCCTCTCTACCCCCGTCCACCGTGATGCCTCTCACTTCGTTGACATCAACCTTGATGATGACGAAACCCCAACCCAGTCCCCAGTTCGAGTCTTCCTGTCACGTGTGTCTGGATTCTTGAGGAGAGTGTTCCGTGTCAAGATGGACGCTTAGAGTGACATCTTGGAATTGTTTGGATTCTTGAGGAGTGTGTTTAAGATGGACGCTTAGAGTGACATCTTGGAACATTCTGTGTTTAAGATGGATTGACATCTTGCAATTGTTTGATTCTTTGAAGAGTGTGTTTAAGATGGACGCTTAGAGTGACATCTTGCAATTGTTTGTATTGTTGAGGAGTGTGTTTAAGATGGACGCTTAGAGTGACATCTTGCAATCGTTTGTATTCTTGAGGAGTGTGTTTAAGATGGACGCTTAGAGTGACATCTTGCAATTGTTTGTATTCTTGAGGAGTGTGTTTAGGATGGAAGCTTAGAGTGACATCTTGCCACCTTGGAAGCAGTGCCATATAATATAGTTACTTGCATAGAATCATAAATACAATATGTTTGGCGACTTTCTATATTTTGGACCTTTCGGACATTTTGGGGATGTTTTGGATTTTAACGGTTTTGGATTACATGCATTTCTATATTTCCTTGCTCATTTTGGCCTTTTCGGACAAGATTTGAGAACAATTTCTTAATATGAATTCGACACTTATCTATTATAACTATTAAATATTGCTTTTACTTTCTAGCTGGTTTGTTGTTTTGTTTTGCGCGCGCGCGCGCATGTGCATGAGTGTGTGAGATATTGGTACCATACCTGGACGATGGATACAAATACAATACTGACAGTGGCCGATACTGTAGTCTCCCTTGAATATGTATATGTCTGTGTGTGAGTATATATTTTGCAGTGATGCCTGGACCAGTGCAAACAGCAATTGCCTTCCTCAGCAACGACCCATCATGGCCATGAGGTCAGAGCAGGGTGGCGGTGGCAGCTGAAGTCTACCCTACAGTCTTTTAGTAGATTTTGTCACCAGGGTTCTTAATTTGTTTTCTGCACGATTCCATTTTGTTGAGGTTGTAGCTGAACTTGAGACCACATGTATCCAAACCTCCATGCAAAACCCAAGCATCATATAAAAATCACAATATTCTGTCAATTGAGATATGTACCTTCATGCACTACACTATCAACATGTCAATAGTTGTATCCATTCTGGATTATGCACGTTTCCTGTGTCAAAATGTGCGTTTAATGTATAAAAGTAATAATTTAGGTGATCTTTTTCAAATATTTCGATACTTTCCAAATTTTATACAACGGAAAAAGTGAGATTCAAGAAATGATATATCTCGAGTGACAGTGATTCATAGACACTTACTTATCATATAGTCGGGAACGATCAAGTGAGTTTGCTGTGAATCAGAGATTTAAAAATATTTTGTTTGCTTTCTGCCCACAGGTTGAAGATGTATCACCGACCAACCATCGTCAAAGCGAACATCTCCAGTTGATGTGTATCGTGCCTGTCACATTTGTCACTGAACTTTAATAAAATCTGTCTAAACGTAGCTGATTTTTTTTCTGTTTTAGCTCATTTTAAAATGTTTTGGTGTAACTACCACTTGTGTGAGTGAGTGAATGTGGTCGAACCCCCTTTTGTCTGTGTGTCGGTTTGTCAGCATCGTCTGGGATGAAATCCTGAAGTGATGCAGTCATTGACAGGTATATAGGGTATGGTACTGTCACTCCTTCAGTGTGGGGAGCCAAAGGATTCACTAGTAGACACTGTCCCGGAAACACTGAGCAATCCCAGATTTGATTGTCCCCGGTCTAATGAGTATTGGGTGACCACAATGTCTGCGTGATGTGGAGAGTGATATGATGATTACATATGATCATGCCACTGTTGCTTCAAGACTCTTGTGTGCTGCAATTCACTCACTGTTTGTTGTTTCCCTCCCTGGCTATGAGTGACAAGAGCCACAACTCGCTCGCTGCTTCATCCACTCACTCACCCACCCACCTACTCACCGAGGCGACTAACGGGATCGGGTTGTCAGGCTCGGTCGATGCTCATGATGTTGATCACTTTATTGTCGGGTCCAGTCTAGTTTATTTACACTCACCAATCCGTTCCCTTGTCTGATCTGTGATCAGTTGGTGTATGTGACATACTACCATAGATCGACGTCTTTGCTTGAAATGTATACATTATAGATAAAGGGTAACCACGTTTCTAATCTCACCTTAATTCACAATCGGTGACACTGAAATACGAGTAACGCGGTGTTAAAGCTCAGATGACGATTAGGGGTTATAATGTACCTTTTGCACACATACTTCCTAGGACGGTGGGGTAGTCTAGTGGTTAAAACGTTCGCTCGTCACGCCGAAGACCTGTTTTCGATTCCCCAAATGGGTACAGCGTGTGAAGCCCATTTCTGGTGTCCCCCGCCGTGATATTGCCGGAATATTGCTAAAGCGACGTAAAACCAAAACTCGCTCACTCACTCATAATTCACAGGTGAAAGGGGGCATTTTCTTGGGATCATATATGGTCCCGTGACACCGGGAGTCAGCACCATGGCGACGGGCTGTCGGTTATGATAATAATAAAACTGGTCCAGGAATCCAACGAATGACATCACGAGTCTAGACGCTACTAAGTCAGGGTGCCGGACCCTCTGATCCCGTTAGTCGCCTCTTACAACAAGCATGGGTTGCTGAAGATCAATAGGTTGTTAAAAAACAAGTGTAATACGTATCTTCACGGTGGAATGTCTGGCAGGGAAGCGTTGTACAGAGCGATCTTAGCGCCAATTAAAGTGGTCTTAATTCCCATTCCTTATCACAGACTACAGCATGGGAACAGCATAGGAACTCAACAGGTATCGTCATCATTATGCATGCATTTACTTCGGGAGGAACATGTTTGTTTTTAACCAAATCACTTTGCCTTATTGAGTGAGCGAGTGCGTGAACGTTACATCGGCATGACTTCAGCCACATAGTGACGAAAATAAATTGAGTAAATATGATAAATATCTATCACGGAGGACAGTAAAACATATAACAGAATTTGAGTCTAAACACTAATTATTTCTAATTCTGAACTACTCCACTGAACACAAATCGACGTGACGTTTAATAATATTAAAACACGGGCTATAGACCACCAGCAACCAAAGCTAGGCCACCCTACTCGGGATCATGGGGTCTTAAGTACTTCAGCTCCCTCATGGATGAATCCCTTGGAGGGTTAAACCATCACTTCACTGTTGGTTGTAAACAATGCTTGTCATAAATTATAACAATGTCTAATTATTGAAACAATAAAGCCCCGATCGTCTGCAATGTACTGTGATACTATTATTACTAACATGCAATCATCAGTGAAACCTAAGGCCCGAAACCGACTGAAAATCACTCAGACCCACAGCTTTTGTTTTCTGCAGGTCCTTATGGACGACAGCTTTCATCCCCAAATAACTAAGAGTATTATTTGTCAGAAAATGTCATTCAGTAATTTTTAGTTTTTCTCGATCAGCAGCTGTTGTCTGTAAGTGAAACGACTATGATTTTGGAGGAAGCAATTTAGATTACTGAGATATAATCTTTTAACCTCAAACAAGGTATCCGAATGCATTGCAAAGACTAGTCAGTCACTAGAGTTAAATTAAACTCTTTATCTCAGTTTGTTAGTACGTTGCCACATTTCTTGTTTGCTGGGAATTACTTGCACTGTAGGTAAAATATAGGACCAACACATTCTGATCAGGGCCCACAACATTTTATGGTTCTGGGTCCTTAGGCCCTGTAGCTTTTCAGGGTTAAGGGCAAACACTAGACGTGATATGAGTATATAGTATCAGCCACTTCCCAGATTATACACAATGGCTGCTCTCAGACCGTCGGTGTGTTCCCCGAGTTTCTCTTGTGTTCTTGTGTTCTCTGTGCGCACGAATACATACTAAAGAGGTGATTGATGTCTGTGAGCTTGTTGTCAACATCTCACTCCTGCCTATGCTATTCACATGCTGGTATCCATACAATGTGCTGCCGTACAGTCTGTGCTATTATTTTGACTGGTGAAGGCTTATCACAATGACAATGCAACATCTCACTCCGGCCTATGCTATTCACATGCTGGTATCCATACAATGTGCTGCCGTACAGTCTGTGCTATTATTTTGACTGGTGAAGGCTTATCACAATGACAATGCGACATCTCACTCCTGCCTATGCTATTCACATGCTGGTATCCATACAATGTGCTGCCGTACAGTCTGTGCTATTATTTTGACTGGTGAAGGCTTATCACAATGACAGTGCAACATCTCACTCCGGCCTATGCTGTTCACATGCTGGTATCCATCCATACAATGTGCTGCCGTACAGTCTGTGCTATTATTTTGACTGGTGAAGGCTTATCACAATGACAGTGCAACATTTTCAGCAACTCAAGCAGCGTCGGATTAAACGAAAATAAGCTTCACGTATTGTAGTTTGTGTGTGTAAAGTTTTAACATTTGTTTGTTTGTTGTTTACTGCCGCTCTCATGAATATTTCAGCTGTATGCCGGCGGTCTGTAAATAATCGAGTATGGACCTGACAATAGACCGATCCAGTCTCGGCCGATAAGCCCCGCCCACTTCGTTTTTGACGTTAGGGGGGACAACCACTGGCAAATCACAATGGCGTCACCGCCGGCGAAACGTTACGTGATTGCGAACGTTGTTGATGAATTCTGCTTGTGATACTTTGGTATCCGTCGTTTGTGAATGTTATTTAAAGAGGCAAGTTATACGTATGTGATTTTTAATATATTTTAGCTGGCAGATTACAACTGGCGAGTGAAAATGAGTTACATGCCCGCTGAAAAAGCGTCTCGACTAGCTGCTGAGACTGTAGGAAGCGTAATTTCTTTCGACTCAATTAATCTATCTGGCAATTCACCTCCGTCACAGATATTAGCAGGGAAAGGATAACTGAATTTTGTTGTTTGGGTTTATAATTTTTTAAAACTCGTGAACACAACCACATGGTCATGTTGCACATCGTTTCGGTATCTATAAATAGATTATCAACACTGCGCGTGGCGCCTTTACTTATCCGTTTGCGTTGTTCAAATTTAGTTCAATAATCTGAAAACATGGGTTTCTATCTTTTAATGAATTAAGAGAATGGTAAATAAAAGCAGAAAATATTTCCCGTCTACTACTTCATGCACCTTATTTGTCTGTACAATTAATGTTAACAAATCAATCACAGCATAACCTATTTGATCTTATTTGGAAATCTGAAAAGGTAATTGGGCTTGTAAACAATATGTTTCCATGGACGTATCTGGACATACCCAGAAGCAAATATTCAACAGCTGATCTGCAGCAACTCTCAGTAGAGTTTCTCTCTGTACACCATGATAAAATGACACTGAATATAAGGAAATCATTTTTTTTAATCATCATTTCCATTTAATTTTTCTATATGTACTTTGTTGTGGAATTCTAATTTACATACAAACTTCCACAATACTGGACTTCATGAACTGCCAGCGTTTATGTACAGGTATGTCACAGCACCAGAACACAAAGAAGATCCAAGATACAGTCTGCACCTGTACACTAGCTGACCCATCTTCCAGAAATAGGAAACATGTGATGCAAAATTTTGGAACAGAGAATCCACAGTTATTCGAACAATTAACTAGCATTGAAATAGAATGTTACACAAAATACAAATGTAGATCTATTGTTTTTCATCAGAGATGTTTAACTGCTAACTACTAGTGTAAATAAGGTGCAAAGAATATATCCTATGTTCAAAGCCTTCTGTCAATACAATTATTGCTTCTTAATTAAACAATGATAATCTTTGTTTTATTAGATCTGAGACCATATCCCTAGAGGACATAACACTGATTTTGATCTATTTCCTTTTCTGAGATACTTACTGGTGTCATAAAATTATAGTAAAGTTGATTCAAAATTTGGTAAAAGTCATAACAAAGGTTTAGGAAAACAGACATGAAAATGTCCTGAAGCGTTCACCTCCTACAAACCTGTGTGCAATTTAATATGAAGCTCATTTTGCAAATAACCATCAACAAACCTTGAACAATTTGTCCAAATCCACCATCTTAATAAACACTAGCTTTGGCTCAGTCTTCAAATAGTAGTAACCTCCTAAAAAACTTATGATTAATCAGAAGAATTACATCAAATATGGGTTTAATATATGTTTCAATCTTTATTCCATTACATGAAAAGTCACCTGAGATTTTTGAAAGTTATTCTGTTCCAGGACTAGATAATGCCTGTCCAGGGTTTGACCAAAATGTAGCCTTTGCTTTTTCAAATATTCTGGATGTTGAAATAACTTTAATGAGTTATGATACTAGCAATCACTTTCAGAATTATCTTATTAGTAAATGTAGTATTTAAAAAAAACATCTAAAAGCAGGAGCCAAGAAACTAAGTTAATACCAAGTGATTGTCCTGCCTTGATATGTATGGTGTTTGTTTGCCTAGTTCTGCCTTAAAATCTAAAAATCTGATATGTCAATCAA